TAGGGGGGGGGGGGGGGGGGCGACGGTAGAAAGTCGGACATCCAGGACAACTTGCGCGCTCTCCCGCTTCATATGCGAATATTTTGCAGGCAGCTGCAGCAGGTATGTTACCTGCAGAGAAGGAACATGACAACACACATTCTGACGAGTCCCTTGTTTGACTTGACACCAGCGGCGTGGTATTTTTTAACAATAAAGTTGAACGGTTCAACTTAAAACGCATCGCCATGAGACAGTAGCCATGGATACTGTACACAGCATAATTTCGCGGTTATGCTCATGGCGACCCTGCCGCAATCCCCCCTTCCTGCAATAAACGACGAACCACCCGCTCGGAAACTAGAAGACGACGGGCGGTGGACGGGGGGATAGTGACGCTGAGGAGGAGGGCTCGACCGGTTTGGAGGTATGTGGTGGCTCTTTTGGGATCCGACCAGCGCCCGCGACGAATAATATCGGAATAGGGCAACCATGGAGGGAGTCATGCGCGGCACCCCCATGGCGTAGACTGTGTAGAGTAAACCCCACATTGCCCAAGTCCAGCCATTGCCGCGCGCGGTGAAATGTTTTGCGCAAGGTCTCATACTGTAGCGGGAACAGCTTTCCAAGTCCTCCTACTTCGGACCGGCGGGCAGCCACGTAACTGGGTAAAATTTCGAGAAGGAAGGGGTCTGAAATATGTACGAACTGGTTTGGGCCAGTCTTGGTTTCGACGAGTCGCAAACCGGCGAGGGAAGGAAGCCCCCAGTGCCGCAGCCGAGAGTCACCTGATAGGGCGATGTACTAGACTTCTAAATTAAGCAGCTCGTTTGCCCGTAGATAACAATTGAACTGGAGGCGAAATGAGACATTATAAATGGAAAGACCACGCTTTTCGCACTCACAGGCAAGACCGTTGAGTATTGAGTAGGAGACCGGCGGGGGTGACTTTCGAGGGACGAGACGGTTCCAACCACGCACAGCTAAGCGGCATCCGACAAGCGTCTTGCGGTGGGCGGGCACAAGCAACTCATAGCTGAAGACGGCGTGTAC